GGATATTTTCCCCCGAGGGTATCGTCAAGTCGCACTTTTGCGGCAACCAAGCTACTGCCATGTGGGGGGTTGCTCTGGATTCAGTAGGAAGGATTCTTGCACTCTCACGTGCAACTCTGCTTCATTTTGCAAGTTATTCTCAATATCAGGTTTCATTTTCCACTCTCTGAAATGGAACTGAAACTTCCCTTGAATTTTCGGGGACCAACTAAACATTGCCAAAGCAAAAGAAAATTTTATTTCTCTTCTTAATTTTATCGTTAATGAAGTGCCATCCTATTCGTCAATGGTAAGCTAATGGCCTTCTTGCTCTATTCTATTTATAGAATAGCATGATTTTGGAATTAACTTGGGGATCATTCACTAAATACATATTTTCATGTTGATCCTCAGAGCAGTCAAGAATCACAAAGCTTCATAACCTCAATTTCCACCTCCCTTTTATTCATTTAATTTAATAAAGATAAGAATTAATTGAGTTTCTTAAGCGTAAATTTTTATCTGAGGGACCACCCACTAATTACATATTGACATTTATTTTACTTTATTACTTTTTTTTACTAATACTTTTTTTACTTATTGCATTTTATTATTGTGTTATTACTTTCAAAATTTTCAGTGCTCTTATTTTGTTTCAGGAAGAATCTTAGTAATATTTAGAGGCAAGATTTTAAATAAGTATGAAGTTAGGGGCTTTCAGAATTTTTAAAGCAGCAAAAAAATCTTATGTTTTTCAGATTTGTCATTCAAAAATACTTTAATTCATCCCTTAATGATTTGATTTAAAACAATTGATATAAAAAAATTTAATTATCACAGATTTGTTAAATATTATGAGTGTTGGGACAATATAATAATTTACTTCTGACAAAAAATTTTTAACTTCAATACTCATTGTATTTGCATTTAAAAATTATTAAAGTTTGCTTAATTCTTTACATATTTTTATAAATTCGGTATGATCAATATTAATCTTGTTAATGTTTTGTTGAATATAGGGAGAGGGGGGTAGATTTCAACATGGGGCACCTTTCAACAACTAGAATTTTTGTCTTCTAACATTGCTTAATGTTTGGCCAATGTGCCAGACAATAAGCTTTAACTATGCATAACTGTTGACATTTAGTTTTAAACACTTTCTTTTTATCACTGTTGTGTTACTCTGTGGAACATGCTTTAACATTCCAAAAAGTAAAAAGACAGTTTTGATTTTAAAACTGTTTATCTACCAGTAATCTTTTAACAAGGTAAGTGATATTTATTCATCTGATAGTTCATTTAATTCTGCTTCTAACTGTATTAATCATTAGTAAAAAGTCTTTTTCTAAAGTGGTTGATAATACTTGAACCAAAATGTCTTAACCAAGGCCAGATTTCAACAGAGCTAAGAGGGCACATTTCAACAGTGTTGAAAGGTGCCTCGGCTTTTTATTTTTTTGTTAAGTAATCTTGCAAAAGTCACTAGTCTGCAAAAAGCCCATTAATTACAGTTGTTACATTTAAAATACTCAACTTTTTCTGTAAGGCATTATACTAAACTTTTTGAAAAACATGTGAATGTGTTCAAGGAAGCATGCTAGCGAAAAAATTTTCAATTAATTGAATTTTTTTAAAAGCTTAAAATCAGGATTCCATTAGTTGCATTGTTGCTGAAAATAGAATTTATTAACAAGTAATTTATTCAATAGAATAGTTTTTTAAAAATTTTATGAAAATATTCACGAAAATTCGATTTAGAATGAAATTAATTTAATTTTAAGAAAATTGAAAAGTTTACAATGCGATGTAACATTATATTTAATAAAATGCTCAGTCCTGTTATTTTACCTTCTTACAGTATATAAAAATGGAATGGACTTTTCAGCTTTATTTTATAGATTAAAAGAAAGAAAGTCAAATAATTGTTTGGTTGGTGAAACCAAACAATGTACAACTAACACAAAATGCTACAGTTCTAAATACACAAGACAAAAAGTTTTCGACATCCAGCAAGAAACCCGGCTTTGTAAATACATAATTACCTGTTCAATTCTCAATTATAGTGTAACTTACATGCAAGTTTGACAACTTGCCTATGATTACGCTAAGCGTTTCAACTCCAAAATTCCAAGTAGCTGGGACAAAAATGAAACGTCTGGAATTGACTGGGTTAAAGGTTTTATGAAGCGTCACCCACAGCTTACTTTAAGGAAAACCTGAAAACACCAGCTTCACAAGAGCTACAGCTTTTAAAAAAGAAAATGTTGAAAATTTTTTCAACAATTATGAGAGAGCTCTTACTTCTGGTCATTTTACAGTTGATCAAATACATAACTTGAATGAAACTGGAGTTTTAACAGCTCCGAATGCTGTTGCCAAGCTAGGAGCAGCTCGTTAGGTGGGGTAGGTAGTTTTTGGAGAGCGAGGACGCATTACCATTGCATGATAATCAACACTTTATTTTGCAGAAAAAGAGGATATTAGTAGTATAGAAAGAAATGACATTAAAATGAAACTGCCTCAACCAAGTTTAAAAGGCGGAACAGCTCTAGCTGTATTTTTCGTGACATTCTCCGTAAATTTTGATTTTATTAAAGACAAAATGTAGAAAAAACCTAAACCAATCCAATATGTTGATTCATTATTATAATTATTTTATGAATAAAGTTCATTTTCCAAAATGTATGATCTTGTTAAGTTCTCTTCGATTGTTGAAATGTGCCCCGCCACCTGTTGAAAACTGCCCCCCAGGAGGGGTAGATTTCAACAAAATACGTGGTTCACTAAATATGTAAAATTAGGTATTTTGTCTTTGGCTTAGACCTTTGGAAAAATTGAGAGGTTACCCCGAATATCAATTTAGTAAATAAAAATTAGAGCTTAGATTTTGAAAGCAATAAAACTTAGAAAATAATTCTTTAGCAAAAACTGTTGAAAGGTGCCCCCCCTCTCCCCTACTATTACAAATAACATTTATTTAATTTTTAAGAAAAATACACTCAATAACCTTAAATAATAGTTAAATTCATTAGAGTTTTAAATTACCTTTTACAGAATTAAATCAAGTAATTGTTAATTTAAAAAATAGTATGAGCCATTCAGTATTGAATTTTTTTAAATTGTTTTTGCCAAAAGCTCTTTTTTAAGAAATATTTATAAATAAATAGAAGTCCAACTGTATATATATGTAATGATAGTTGACTAGAAGTCTCAATACAACAGTGATAATTTTATTTTTAAAATGTAAAGACGAAAAGAATTATGCACTTAGTAGAAAATAATGGATTTGAACTTATATTGTGATTTTTCCGAAAAAATTAATTTTCTATTTTTAAAAAAATTAGTAATAACAAGGTTTGGAGGAGAAACTCTTCGATGTAAGAATTTAAATTAACATTAGGTGGATATATAATGCCAAGGAAAAAAAAATTTTTTTTTTTTTCATAACTAGATAGGTTTTCTAGATATCAAGAGAATACTGTAATTTTTTTTTTTTTGTGTTTTAATGTTTAGAAAATGTGTTTTATTAAATACTAACTCACTACAAATACTAAAATAAACTGAAAAGTGAATCAGCTGAAGAACTTGCTCTAGCTCTAAATTAGATAGAACAATTTTTTTTTTATCAACTTAGAACTAATGAAGGTGATTCATTAGTTATTGCCAATTTTTAAAATAAAAAAAATGTGTAGGTTATTAAATACTAACTCACTACAAATACTAAAGTAAAACTGAAAAGTAAATCAGCTGAAGAACTTGCTCTAGCTCTAAACTAGATAGAACAATTTTTTTATGAACTCAGAACTAATGAAGGTGATTCATTAGTTATTGCCCATTTTTAAAATTAAAAAAAAATGTGTGGGTTATTAAATACTAACTCACTACTCATTTAACGTCAAGTTTGAAAATTATTCTACGTGTAGTAATGTAACTTAATTTTTATGTGCATTTATTGTTTATTTTCAGGAAAATTAGAATAACTTTAATATTAAAGCATGGTTTTTAACATGAATTATCAAGTTTTTGTAGATCTCTAGTAGTTGCAAGTCTGTGTTCATCAATTATTTTTATTAAGGGTATCTAAATAATGAATATTGAATAAATCACTATACACATAGTATCAAATGTGTAATATTAAATATAATAACTGAATTTTGTCTTTAACAATTTTTAAATTACACTCTTATACTATTTTATGTGTGTATTTCAAAAAGTAATTCTCGCTCATTATCAAAATAAGAGAAAGATGTTTAGTTTATAAAAATAATTAAAGGCTATCTCTGCATATTTTTCTTTCCAAAAGAGGAAGCTAATAAAAAATGATTAATTGATAAAACTACTTGAGAGCTTTTTTTCTACAATTTAAACTGAAAATTATAAGAAAAATAAACATTTAAAGCTAAATTTTTTAAAAAAAAGTATTAAAAAATAGTTAAAATCATTCAAAAAACTTATTGATATTCCCCCCTCCCAAAATTATTTAAAAAATTTAACCAATTGAGAATTATCCTAATAAAGTAAATACGTATTTGTAATGGTAATCAGAATTAAAACTATGAACACAGATAATTGTACCAGTATGTAATTATTATATTAACAGTGAATTAATTTTTTTCAAAATGGAATATGAATTGTTTTTAAGGGATGGCAAATTATTTTCACAGAAAGGGCTAAGAGGGGGCTTTTATTGAGATCAAAGTGCAAGCAGCATGGGCCGCCCTTTATAAAACGCTTAAGAAAAAACACTGGTGGAACAAAAATGAATAGTTTTAGATTCTTCATTCAAAATATTAACCAATAGTTAAAAAAGATGTCTGTTAAAAGCTTCCTAATAGTTTGGTTAATTTTGCTTTGGTTTAACCTTTTGTTTTAAGTAAACCAAAAACAGCCAGTTAAAAAAAAAAAAACTTTTCCCAACTTTGTGAATGACTCAATGAGTGATATATTTTTATCTTATTAATCTTCCTTGTTTTAAAAAAATACTCCAAAAGTTAAAAATGAAATTTATTTTTTTTTTTCAGAAACTGCTGTTAGCAAAATTACCTTTTGCTCGTGTAATAAGGGAAATCGCTGATCAATATCTACCAGGTTTGAGATGGCAAGTTCTGGCTATTGAGGCATTGCAGGAGGCTTCAGAAATGTATCTCGTTCATTTATTTGAAGACTCTGTTCTCTGTACCATTCACAGAAGTCGTGTGACTTTAAACGTGAGGGATATGCGTTTGGCTAAACGTATACGATCACGATTTGAAGACTTTTAGTAAACTTTACAAATCGGGTTTCATAAAATTATTTTTGTTTTGTAATTTTCAGGCTTTTTTTTTTTTTTTTTTAAACTGTCCTAAAAAATTATTTTAATTTAAAATGTGAATGTTTTAAGGGAACACAATGAATAACTTTTGATACTTCACATTGTTTATTCTTATTTTTCATTAAGAAATTTATTGGGATGGATAGTGCTTTATAATTTATAAATTATTAATGCTTTTTAGTGTTAATTTTCTTAATCCTCAATCGTCAAGGTTTGATAAATTAATTAAATTAAACTCATTGTTACGATTTCGCGGGAATCATAGGGATTGCTGTTCTAACTTGGAAATTATATTCTGGGTTCGATTCAGGGTTTTACTTTTAAGGCCCATTTTTGTGAAAAATAAAAACTTTTTTTCTGAAAACTTCTTAATTGATAAACAACATTCAGTTTTACCAGTAACTATTTAAGTCCATGTGTTTTTTGGCGACTTCCTTTTGATTTTTCAAATTGATTCCTGTATATTTAATAAGTTATTATGACATGATAATTTCGAATGGGAGTCACCACTCTTTTCAAAGCCTTCGATTTGTGATGATTCCATCAGAATTTTTCATCGTTGGTTGATTGTTAATCAGAAGTTTATCAATTTTTCGGCTCTCCTAACATAGTTTTTCTATTTCCAATATTTTACTAAGTTTTTATGATGTTACTACAACGTTCAATCATAAATGCTTTTTATATCTCTCAATTATGATTATATCTCTAATATATTGTTTATTTTATAATAGAAAATAAAATGTTTTTCTTTCTGTAATGTTTATGTTTTGATTTTTTTTTTTCTTAATAACGGGTCATATCTTTTTTATTTGCTTTCTTTTTGAACAAATTTGCTTTTATATTTTAATTAAAAAAATAGGAAAAAAATATCACTAAGAGAACAATTCTATGTTAATTTGTTAAGAAATATTTAATTAATTGAGTAAATAAGATTTTAGTTTTTATTGAATTCATAATGCTAATATATTTATTGTGGTATGATTTAGTATTTTTAAAAAGATATATTTATATATTTTTCATTAACTAGTATCTATGGTGCTAAACTAAACTTTAGCATTTAGCTATTAACTAAATTTTAGCATTTAATTTTATGATCAAATCTGGTGGTTTACTTTTTTTTCTAATTAATTTGCATTGCGTATTAATATTAGTGGCAAGTTATTCTTTAATAATTTTGATTTATTAATTAAGTGGGATCATTTCATCTCTTCAATATTTTTAAATATTGTAGAAAAATAGCATTTTATTTTAATTTACATGGCATGCGTTGCTTAATTTTTTTTTCTTCATTAAAAATTTCATTTTTGTTCATTTTTGCATCTTTAGCAAAAAGTAAAGTTAAGAGATCCAAACTTTGCATCGATATCCTGACCAAACTATGAGGGACATATTTCCCAGATTGCGGCTACCCCCTATGAGGAGAGAGAGTACGTTTTTGTGATTTCATAACTTAAAATGTCATCTGCACTAATTAATTAGTATATTTGAGGTGACCCCCTCAAATCATTGAGATTTAGTCCTAGACCGTCAGATCAAAAGTTATTCAGAGTGGTTCTTTTTTTTTTCTTTCTTTTTTTCGTACGCTGCACGTTCCTATTTCAGTCAAGCCCATAAGCAGAATATTTTCAAATGTTCTGCAACAGGACTTATTAATTTATACATATGCTCTGCAAGCATTTCACATCGAAAAAAAGTCAACTTTCGTTAAAATACTATATTTTCATTTATTAAAATACAGGATCATACACAGATACACAACATTATTTTTTAAACCAAGGCAAACATTCTTGATTTGTTACTTTTTCAATCACTTTTGAAGTACAAAATTTTGTTAATGACGATGATGAATTATTAATAAAATGACTATGATATGAAGGTCCGAACATTAAAATAAGAGCTGCCTTAAATGTCTTTCAAAGGGACAAGTACCCAGATGGGGCACCATTTGCAAACACAAACATTCGCTGGTCTGTTGTTCAAACAACTTCTTAATCTATATCGAAAGCATTTGGTCTTTTAAAAACAATTCTGTCAATCGTGAATCCCCACGATTCACAAAATCTTAGAATTTTAATTCTTTTACGGCTTGCTTTCGCAGGAAAACGCTGTCACTTCAAGATACAAATTGTTCTGCAGGACTTCATTTGTTCTGCGACGTACGTCACAGTTTTAGGCACTTTCTGCTTCTGGGCAGTCAAGTACATATTTGGGAACCATTTTCCTGCAAACAAAATTTTAGTTGTAAAGTTGGTGTTGCAGTGTTTGAATTCTACACTATAGTTATCTTGCTTTAATACTAGAGTTTTATAGAATTGCTCTTTATAAATTTAAAATGATTTTTTTTATTTCTTTAAAAGAAATTATTTAACTTGGAGACTTGAAAAATGTCCTATGCTGTCATTCATAACATTATGAGTTCATCTTTTGAGTACAATTCCTTATATGAGTTGTGTAATAATGACCTTTATGTCAGCCAAGTAATATTTAATGAAATAGAAATAAAATGTTTTATTCATATGTTTTTCATTATTGTAAGATATCAGAGCATATTGTCAGTAGATAACTGTATGAAGATGCTATATAAGAATCATGTGAGTTACATATACATTAATATTTTTTTTTTTATGTGTAAACCAATTTAAGTGCTTCATATTTAATTGCAATAGATAACAGCAAAACCACAATTTACCAAACTTTGTTAATTAGCATTTGCTTCTCTCGGTATCCAGGCAATATTACATTGATAGGGCTTGAAAATGAATGATTGTCTTTTTTAAACTGTTATTTTACAGGTGAAATGAAATTATACTGTATATATCGTACTGTGATTGAAATTTTTGTGCTGTGCCCATCAAAGCAAAATATTGAGTTATTTTAATGATGTGTTATGTTGTGATTTTAATGATTCTTGATTTACATACCTATCTTTAAACTTCGCAATTATACTTAAGAAAATAAGTTTGTCATTGTTTTTAACTATGAAACTGGAAAATGATTCCTATAGAGCCTTGATTTAAAATTTTTATTTTTGAATAATATGTTTTTTAAAATTTCCCTGCCATGCAACATAAAAAGTGTTCTTTATATTTTTACTCATTATTATGTGCTGGTAAATATGGATTGCTCACATCAAAAATTCAGTTCATTTAATCCAAAAAATAATATTTTTAATTTCTATTTAAATTTTAAAAAAAGACAAAAATCATTAACCAAAAATGACTAGATTCATCATTCAGGGCTGATTGTGCTGCGGAAAAAATCCGGATTTCCGGATTTTTTGCTAACCGTGATCCAGAGATTGAGGGTTCAGACGGTTCAAAAAATCATTGATCACAAAAGTTTCTGGAAATCTAATTTTCAAAGGTGGAACTTAAAAGCACAGTTTATTTTGTTTGTAAGGGAGAGTCAGATACTTTATAAGCGTATATTCAAGATTAACATTAATTTTTTATCTGTAAATAGTTATTATAATCATAAACTCAAGAAAAAAAAAGTATTTGTAAATTTTTATTACTTCTCCAGGTCGACATAGGTATTTGTAAATGGTATAGGTTTGTGTAAAATTAATATATTTTAAGTAAACCAAGAAATATTGAGAAAAAGGAAAAAACCCTGTTTAAAATTTTTTTTAATTTTTCGATTTAAACTTCTTTTTTTTTTACTCAAGAAATTTTCCGGAATTTTGACTTGGGCTCACAATTACCCCTGATCATTAGACTATATTTTGTTCACGATAATTGGCCTGTTTATGTTTTATTTGACTGATTTTTAAGTCAAGAACAGTATGTTTATATTTTATGTTTTTTTATGTCTTTAACAATCTTTTTTTTTTGTTGTTGCTTGTTTTGTATTTGTTGAGTAAATTAGTAAATAAAAACTTTATATACTTATATAGATGTTTTTATTAACTGAATAGAGGAGCATATTTAAGAGATTTTGACTGTGTTGCTAAAACCTTGAGCTAAACATATTACTCACACACATTACTCATACTGTCAAATTTTCTTTCTTTTCATGAAAATGTCAAACCCACTTTTTTAAAATAGATTATATCAATTCAATAAAAAAAGAGAATAAATCCACTATAGATAAGAGTTCTTTTCCAGAAACTAGTTATTTTATCATGATCATGCAAATTCTTTGAAAATAATTTTGCATTTTGTTAAAGTATATAGTGCTTAAAAAGATTTTTTAAGTGCTTGAAAAGTACTTTAAAGGTGTTTATTTTTTGTTGAGAGATTTGACTACGCACCCTGTCATATGTACTTGTTTTCAGCAAAATCAGTGGTCACCACTGAACATTAATATTTTCATTCTGAAATGATGCCCCATATGCTTCAAAAAATTCACCTCTTATTGCTTCACGGAAATGTGGCCCCTTTTATCTTTGCAACATCCCATATTCCCCGAACTGACATCTGTAGTATCTTTTTTTCACTGAATTCCCCCCCCCCCAGCATATCTGTAATTTTTAATGGAATTAGATCAACACATAGAATTTGGCCTTCACACAATCAGGGTTGACACTTCACAGGGAAAACCTGAAAAATACAGGGAATTTAAAAATCACCTAAAATAACAGGGGATTTTGTTCCTTTTTTCATCTTTTAAAAAATGGTGACCACTCAAAACGCAGTCTATGGCATATTTAAGGATGATATTTTAACTATACCAAACTATTTAATTTACTCTATCATTATTTGTTTGAAATGTGCTCAGCTGTACCTTTTTTCTCTAACTTTTTCCAGTAATTTAATTTAGTATAGTTATAACAATATAGCACACACAAAAGCGCAGTGGTAGTGTGTTTCCTCTTAATATATTGTGCTTAATACGAGTATCTACAGGGAAAACACAGGGTTTTTTTCTTTCCAGATTTGAGTGGCTACCCTGACAATTCCGTTTCAATTTTCCATTCGTATTTTCTTAAAAAAAATTTTAATAGTTAAACTTTCTAATATGTGCTATTTTTTTTTTTTTATTATTATTCTTTGAAATTTTATAACCAAGGACATACAAAACTTTTATGAGCCAGTAAAAATTCTCAAGAGCCAGTTTCTAGAATCTTGGTTTTATTGCATTTGCTGTGGCATAAAAAAATAAACTAGCTTCTCATAGATGTTGTGCTGTTTAAGTGTTGCGACAATTAAATAGTAGAATAATTGAAATCTATAAACATTTTATTTACAAAACAGTAATATGATATTTAGGAGACACAGATTTTAAATACCAAGCCAACTTTGCTTTATGCTACTTTGCCCTCCCCTCTTGTGAAAAAAGTTGGTAATGTTTGTAATCAGCTGAAAGCTTTTCTTGACGGCTCTACAGAATTACACATATTTTAAAATTCAAATATTTTTACTATGATATCATGGCATCTCATGACAGAAGAACTACCGAAAGCGATAGTTATTTGCAACAGAAACTTTACTTATTCTAGCAGTAGCAGAATGTATTGTCCCATTTGTATTTAGTGACACTGCTACAGAAGTCTTTCCTAAAATGTTTCCGGATTCTAAAATAGCAAGTTCAAACCAAGTTTTCCATCTCTAGAATTAAGTGTTTTGTTCTTGATGGCATGGGACCCTTTTTCAAAGCTAATCTCAAGAATGAGATAATCAAATATGGAACTTACTATTCAATTCAGATGGATGGAACTCTGATTCAGTGGAGAGAAAAAAACCTAACAACTTGATATGTTTTTATAGCGAAGTAAAGTAAAAGGTGCTTACTAAGCATTTAGGATCATTTCATTTAGGCTATGACACTAGTATAAAAAAAAGCTGTATCTAAGTTATCTCAAATAACTTATTAGCTTTTATAGCGATGGACCAAATGTAACAAAGTCATTGAAGAAAACCATGTCAAATAGAAATAAGTGAATGTTAATGGTATTACCAACTCTTTCGGTTTCATCGGAAGACTTGCTAATTTCGGACCCGTTTTACGATCTTCCGATCACAAATATCTTCCACTTTTCCGACTTCTGTTCCATTTTATTTTATGCAATTTTTATTATTTGTGGTATCAGGGGTCCGTCTAGTTTTTTTTTTAGAGGTACCTATTTTGTGAAAATTTAAGACGTAATTTGTGAATATTAAAAAATCAACACAAAAATATGGTAAAGTAAGTAAATATTTTCAAAAATTTTCACTACAATTGACTGGTAAATTTCTATATGGCTTTCCCCATATTTTCAAAATTCATAATCATTGTCCATAGTTAAATTTCAACTTGAATTTGATAAAAACATGAATTTAACAGTACTAGTAGTAAAAGTTATTTTAATTGAAAGAAACTTTTCAACCGGATCATAAAAAAAAATAAATGTCTGTTAGAATAAATTTACAATAGTGTTTAAAATAATGTTCGAATTTCGATTTCCTGTGAAGTTCAGAAAGGGAGAGCCTCGTCACATTTCAGTTGAAAAGACTCAGCGAAAAAAAAAATCTCGCTTTGCGGTTGGGCCTATCATCTCATCAAACACGTGCTACCTTTTCGTAAAAGACTGCTGCCAGAAAAACTCCTCCTTTCCATTTATTTTATTTTATTCATCGTTGATCAACCGACCCAATATTTAGTTTACGACTTCTAATGTTCAACTCCGTAGCCTTGTAATTTTGAACCAATCCAGAAGACAAGGAAACTCCTGGATCAGTACCCTACCCCCAGAGGTATTGATTTGTTATGGGAACATGGAGGAAATGCGACTCGACAGATTTACCGCTCATCAGTCACCATTTATTACACGGGGAGTTTTCGGCCGGCTGGGATCGAACTCTTCGACATGGACCCAGTGCCCCTACCTGCCAGGCCATCCTTTCCCTTCCTTTCCATAGATTGCAACGAGAACAGCGTTTGCATGAGAACTTGCTTTTTTATTTCTGTAACTACCGTTTTTCCTGAAGTTGAAGTTGTAAAAGTACCACTAAGTAGTAGTAAATTTACCCTGGACAGACCCCCTGGGTATAGATAAAACAATTTGTAAAAAATTCACTCCCTCTCAGGTTTTCCCATTATCTCTGCAGAGAATAAATAATGTGCATCAGAGTCGTGTGGGTTTCCGTGTAAGAACAAAGAACCTCGCTTCTTTCTGTCCAAATCCGATCGTTCCACTTTTGCAGCTGTGGAAACATGCTTTTTAAAAAAAAAAAGAAAACCCTAATGTTTGTCATAGAGCCGGAACGGGGGGTCATAAAAAAGTTATGTAAGGTGTTGAACAAATTCAATTCGTAACTTCGAATTTCAGTGCGGCTCTACCGTTTTTCTTGCTCTTTATTTCGAGCCGTTGGTGGGATAATAGCCACTTTAAGAAACTTAATCGAGTCATCGAAACGTCATTTCATTTACAGATTTTTCCGTACGTAAAGAAATCAACTTCTTCATTAAGCATGCGCTGTTTGCTGGATGTATGTTCTGTATCTCACAGCGGAAAAAAATGACATTCAAACACATGAAGATAAATAAACATCAAACACATATTTCAGAAAGTAATTCTCGCTCATTATCAAAATACGAGAAGACGTTTAGTTTATAAAAAATAATTAAAAGGCAATCTCTCTGCATATTTTTTTTTCTTTCCAAAAAAGGAAACTAATAAAAAATGATTAATTGATAAAAACGACTTGAAAGCTTTTTTCTATAGTTTAGACTGAAAATTATGAGAAAAATGAACAATTAAAGGTAAATTTTTTTTAAAAAAAAAAAGGTATTAAAAATGGTTAAAAAAAATTTATTGATGTCCCCCCCCTCCCAAGAAATATTTGTAATGGTAATCAGAATTAAACCTATAAACACAGATAAGTGTAGTATTATATTAATAGTAAATTAATTTTTTTCAAAATGGAATATGAATTGCTTTTAAGGGATGGCGACTTATTTTTACAAAGGGGTCTTTTATTGGGATCAAAGGGCAAGCAGCGTGGGTAGCCCTTTAAAAAGCGCTTAAGGAAGACACCAGTGGAAATAATATTTTTTTTCCAATTCACAAAAATGAATATTTTTTTTATTCTTCATTCAAAATATTAACCAATAGTTAAAACAGGTGTCTGTTAAATGCTTCCTAATAGTTTGGTTAATTTTGCTTTGGTTTAACCTTTTGTTTAAAGCAAACCAAAAAA